TTCTGCTCTTTGTGCAAATGACAGTCACAAAGAGGAGCCCAAATAAAAGTTCATAGCTGAAGAAGCTTTCATACCATAACTGATAATTTATCTTTGCATCTTTATAACAGTCTTAACAAGCTGTGCAATACTAATACATTTGTTCTTCTCAACCATGATAGGGCAACCAAGCCCTGGTATACTTGCTGACATATAGAACTGAATTTATAATTTCCTCTCTCATTTTGACTTCTATGTGGACTGGAGCCAAAACCTGGATATCTTTATCTGTTCTTATTTTACAAAAGACATGGTTATCATTTCAATCTGATTGAAATAACGTGCTGAAGAATACAGTAGTATTAGTTGCACTCTTGTCAACAACTAATAAACACTGAGGCTCACCAATATCCTTAAAGAAGTCATGAAACGCACAGGGCACAACACTGACAGTGTCTCCATTATCTGCCTTTTCTGTGACAGAGGCTCATGTCTTGTTCAAATACTGATTCAAAAGCTCTCAGAAGTAATCAATAAAATTAAGTGTGTGTATGGTAATGATGCAAGAGGTCTGTCAAGCTCTTTATGATATGTAATAAATCCAACTCTCATAGGTGGGTGGATGAAACAAGAACGTATATTTTTCTTACTTGGCTGTGCACATATAGTGATCGAGGTCAGTGTAGTGTGAACATTTTTTTATATTCTCAGCACCAGCAGGCAGTTTTGCAGTCTTGTCCTCCCACTGCTTTAATCCAATCTTTTATGCTCCTCTCTTGCTGTCTTCCTTCTAGTGCCTTTGTTGTACTTAATCCACTTATTAGGATACATACAGTAAACTGAAATAGCTTCAGTTATTGAAATATTAGACATGCACAGATTCTTCTAAATACACTAAAAATAAACTGGCAATCTTAATTAAAGAAAAAAGCAGCAATCAGAGATAAGGCAAGCAAGCATAAGCATAAGGGTGGTGTTAGATGATATAGTATAGAGCAAATAAAATTGTCAGTTACTCAGTCATCTGCCTGGCTGAGTATGGAGAGAAATGTTACCTAAAAAAAAAAAAAAAAGAAAAATAAATTATCAGAGCAACACATTTGTTTGAAAGAAGTGTCATTGGTGTTATTTTCTAGGAAAAATTCACATCACATTCTAAACCCAAAGAGGCTAAATTTCCACCCTTAAAACCATATTCAAGATAGTTTCTTGCTAAGAGACATATTGTGTCCATGTCCTCTGACTATGCACCATTTACATTTCCCCAAGCCTGAAGGCCATCCCTATCTTTTACCAAATCCATATTTCCAAATTAACGCCCAGTCCTCTTCCCCTTTCCTTGTTGTAATTTGCATGCCAGCTCTATCTAGCACCAGAACACCAGTTCTCTGAGCAACCTCTGTCTTGAGCCTGCACAAATCTGAACCCCAACTTCTGCTTTGGATACACGTGACTATTCCAGCCAGTTGCAGGATTGTGAAGGCAGCCAGTGCAGACATCAAACATCCTTCAAACACAAAGCACCACAGCTTTACCCCCATTTGTGGTCTCCTGGGTCAAATACTACTGTGATAAGCTGCATTTCTGGGAGCTTCTGGTGCACAAGGCCTCAGGTGAACCCAACTTTTCGAATACCACCATAGCTGACCACCTCTAACCGAGCCCTCCAGAGCGCTGCTCCTCTTTTATGATCCCGGATGATCGTTCACCCCCCACAGATAACCTAACATAAAACAGGCATGAGAGAACACAAGACAAGTGAACCAGCTGGTAAACTGCATGAGGAGTGCTTACATGCACCTATGCCACTGAGCTCTTTCAACAGCTTTTGAAACTAGCACCACTCTTGAAAATAATCCCCCTGAGGGACCTGCAATATTAACTGGAGAAAATACAGCATTGTCTTCACATAAAACATAGGTTTAACAATACTGCTCCTCTTTCAACTGTATGTATATTATCTTTTATAGAAATAAGAACATATTATTAGTATTCAAAGGTTATTCACAACAGATTAGACAACTTCTCTCAGATATACAGGAAGGACTACTGCAGTTTGATCCATACGCTGAACTCTGTAGAAACGAAGAGGACTCTGCAATAGGGGCATTGGGAAGGACTGACTCCCAGTGATGAGCCATTCCTGTCTTTGCTCTTTTCTTATCCCAAAACTCTTCACATAACACTGTTAGAGCAGTCTGAAATCCTGCCTACAATCTATGTTAGGTTACGTCTGATGCTTATCCTGATAAACATGTATAGATTCGAAGTGCATAAAGGCATAGTAGAGAAATGGAAAGCTTTGTGAGGAGTGCTCTCAGTTTATTTGGCCACATTTGGTCAGTGTGTTGAACGTCAGAACCTGCGGTGAAATTGTTGGATGATTTCAGCTGATTTTGGAGCAAATATAAGATTAATGTGAGTGGGTTTATATTTTAGAATTTATTGGTTTTAAAGATGTGATTCAGGAGATGTAAACCTTTTACTTGAGCTGAGGGCTGATATACTGGGGTCTGTATTATTTCATACTGAGCTGGATTTCATTAATAATCATGAGTGTGTACTTCATTTTAGTTTTATAAAACTTAGATAATGAGAGTTATGGCACTCATGAGTAGATAATGGCACTATTTTTTCTTCAAAGTGTTTATATTAATTTTATAGACATCTTCTGTCAATAAAATATATTTTAAGAAACTTATTCCCATACTTGCTCTGTAACTATCAATCAATATAGAGAAAGCAGAGGTTTTGTGCCCCAAAAAATCAGAATAAAGATTACGTGGGCTTAAATTCCTCAAAGGATCATAACCAACATTAATGCTTCATTTTTCTTTTACAACGAGATCTAATTTTGAGAATGAGGCCCAAATGATTACTTCAGCAACCAAATGCCAGTTATTAACACTTACCTAAGTGCTTAGTTTGATACAGGTTCTCAAGAGATTTTTCTTCTTTTCGGATAATTATTTCTTAATTTGTTGACTAGCAAGTATGCAAAAGCAGACATTTGAGAGATTTTTGTCTCTTCTCTCAATGTTACTTTCTTTTCTCCTTATTTAACTAGGTATGAATGATAATAAATAGCACATTCTGCTTATTGGTTATATTGGTTTATGCCCCTATTGCATTGCTCTTTGAGGCTTCTTTGTGCACTGAACAAGCACTATAATGAGGGCAGCTGGCTGCCAAAACTTCCTCTGTTCCAAGGCTACTGTGTTTGAGAAGGTCTTCCCCTGTAGTTTTTGTGGATGTTTCATAAAGGATAAAGGCATTTGTAAGGCCTGTTACACCACGAGAAGAGCATATCTTGGGAGCTTGTTGAATATCATTCTATTACTCTTATTGTCCAGTAATATTGCTTATTGTCACCCTATGCTGGAGAAAGTAGATAGTAACAGAAAATTACATTTTTCTGGGAATAATGAATTTGGTCAGTGGGAAATAAAATCCTTGAGACAGTAAACTATATGTGCCTGAGATTGTAAAGAAAGTGCACACAACTTTTAAAAAGAAATCAGTAGAATCTCATCATCATGAAGTAGAGCCCTCAAATACTGTCAGGGTGTAGCGGTTTCTTTCTGCCACTCCTTGTTTCTCTTCTTCTTTGCTGCTCCTTGCTTCTTACTCGTTTCCTCTGCCCCAGCGTGGCTCCTCCATCGGCTGTGGTGCCTTCAGGGGTGTTACCTGCTCTGCCATGGACCACCTCCTATTGCACTGGCCTCATTGCCTTTTGGGAGAATTTATTGCCCTTTCTTTAATGCGTTTCCCCCGAAACACCCCCACGTTGGCTGTGGGGCTGAGCCGTGCCCTGCGGTGGGTGGGTCAGAGCCGGCTGGAACCGACTGTGTCCGGCACGGGGCGGCCCCGGCCTCTCCTCACAGCGGCCCCTGCAGCCCCCTCCATTACCAAAAATTCCCTAGCTATGCCCCATATAGGGTCACAAAATCATGCCTCACAAATACTAGCAAACAGTTTAAGACATTCATTAATAGTAAAACCACTCCTACCTAGCAAAGACACGCCCTTTGATAGCAAAATGGTGTGTGATAGTGCACTTTTCTGGAACAAGAGTCTTGAATTGTAGATACTCCATTTGAGGCAATTTTGTTGAGAAGATACCATAAAATCCTGTGACAGGAAAAGCAGAAGTCTAGTGCTTTGCTTTTTGTTTAAAGGCAAGCTTAGGGAGCGTGCCCCAATAAACTGCTATGTAGCCAGCACATTGTTGAAAACAATGTCTTCTCCCCAAATCAAAAATTGTCCCAAGTGTCCCCAAAATGTATTTGCCAGCTTCAGACTTTACAAATAGTAATATCATGTAAATTGAGCATGTTTCCTGTATTATATTTGTTGTCATTGTGTCAGAATATCACTCCATTTCTGTCTGGGGAGATTGGGGAAAAGAAATTTAGCTTGTGCACGGAAGATGAAATATGTAATAAAAAGTCAAGGGAATCTGAGAACTGGACAAGAGTCAATCTGCTTTTCTTTGTGACTTGGGGCATATGAATTTCATACCCAGCCATATTTCTATATGCAGGCTGTGGTGTGATGTTACCTTAGCTTCCACCCTGCCTCTGGCCTCCCAGCTTGCTTCTCTGGCCCCTTTGGAGGCTGCCGAAGGATGCGTCCTCCTTGCCCTCCCCGGCCATGACTTGACACAGCGTCATCCCCAAACATCCTTAACCTATCAAACATTTTAAAATATTTTGCAATATTTGAATGTTCTTGCAAGTGGAATGCTTTCATTGTCCAAGCTGAGTAAAATGTAAACAATAAAGTAGCACAGACTGAAAACTAAATTGACATGTGACACTGCCCGTGAAGAAGGTACAGATACACATCTTTTATTCTTAACACTTTTAACTTTACAATTCCCTATAAAGATTCAAATTTTCTTTTAAAGTCCATTGTTGTTTGCTGACTAGTCTGTTCTGTATTTATGTAAAATGTTTATAAACCTGAATATGAATTCACATTTTCTCTTTTTTTTCTTTTTCTCTCACTTCCTCTTTCAGGAACTTGAATTTCAGGATCTGACGGCAGTTTTACACTGTATTCACTCCTTTATAGCAGCAAAAGTGGCATCTGTGGATCCAGTATTCATAGACAGTCAGAGTATTGCAAGAAAATATACGTACAGTAACTGATATCAGATTATATGTCGTGACTATGGAAAATAAATTATTTTCTTAAAGAAAGTAGTTATTTCATGCACAATATTGCAACTTTGTGGTTTTATAAGAAGTCTATAGTTGTGTTATCTGTAACGTTAAGAGTTTTCACAATCCGTTAAACATTTTGAATCTATGAGTTAACAAATATTAAGTCAAACTGAATCACTTTGTCATCTTCAGCATTAATTTAAAATTCTAAGTGACTATTCATTCAATAATTGTGGTGTCATTTTGATCTCTGCTCTCGTGGTAATACATACTTCCCTTCATTAGATGATAGAAACGTGGAATAACATTTGAAAAGTGTGTGTCCAAAATTTGGCCTCTAAGTCTCTTCTGAAAAGTGCTGGGCACACAGACAATTTCTACAGCCTTCGCTGTAGAAAATAACTAATTATGAAGACATTTGCCATAGGAAATGAACTTTTATCTTGCTTCTTTATGTTTGAAAAATTATAGTTCCACAGTCCAGTTCTTTTGATGCCTGAGAGTTTAGCTCTGGCAAAACACTAAGTACTCTATTTCAGACCAAGGAAAAGACATAAGCACACACTTGGCTCTAAGCATATTAAGTAGCACCAGTGTATGCAGAAGGTAATGTTAAGTATGTATTTAAATATCGTGGTAGATCAACTGAAGAGCTTTAGACTTTGCTAAGAAGCCTAACTATAGGCACTCAGTTTTAGAAAACTTGCCATAGAGTTTTCTTATCTATTAATAAAGCTTCCATGAATCATTCATTTATTCATTCATAGATTGCCTTGATGCTATCCTTTGATGTGATGCTCTGTATGGTTGAGAACAGCTCTTTTAATAACTGTTTTGTTTGAAGGAGGATGCTCCCAGTACCTGGTGAACATAACAAAGCATAAAGATTTTTCTGGGCCATCTACCTTTTTTTTTCCTACAACTCTAACCCTGATTTATACACAAGCGAGGTCAGTTTTGTCCTTGCTAAGGAAATAATATTGTTCTACTTTTGATGTATTCCTAACCGTCCTTCTCAAATCGTCTTCTTATATGCACAGATAAGACTTCCTGCTATTGAAAACTTATATGAGAGGAAGACATTTTAATCTTAGGGCATATTCCTTGTAAGTAATACCAAACATTGCAGGTTTCTGAGAGAGAAGGCTCGGTTGTTCTCAAGTGCAGGTTTGAGGCAAATATTTTTTTCCCAAATAAAACAATCAAAAATCAAGCAAGAAGAATATCCTAATAGATACAATGGCTATTGAGTGAACTCATCAAAGTCTTCCCTAAATTTTAGGAGTCTAGTGAAGTGTCCTGCTAAAGTAAAAGCCTAAAGTTACTGTATCCCAAGGAAAAGAGGTAGGTGCCTTTAAAAGCTCTCAGGTGAGGAGTGTTTTTAGGGAACTTCAGTGCTTAAATTTAGTCGGAGAAGTTCCTGCTCTTAAGGTTCTTAAGGTAGTCTTGGCAGGCTGCAAGGGGCCCTCAGGCACTTACTTTAAATGGATGTTTATCTGTCCACCTAAAGCTTAGGCACAGAGGAAGGGCCTGAAGTAGGTGATTTGATCCTACCATAAGGATCACCTGTTGCCAAGTGTTATCCATAAATTCATTTGAACAGTAAGGACTCCGTTTGCAATTCCAGTGTTGTTTATGGTTCTAATGTTGTTTGCAAGGAGGCATAGTAGGAGTGCTAACTCCTGTTAATATTTAGCAAAGGTGAGAAATATTTTTGTTAATTGTAAATAAATATTTCTAGTTGTTATGGTATTTTTTAACAAATATTCTCTCAGTTTTATATTATATTTTTTCCAAAAATTCAATCCAAAAAAAGTCTTTCTCAAACATGCTTTTATTCAAAATGTTTCATTTAATTTTCAGCTTTCCATTTTATTTTCAGCTCTTTGTATTTACTGAGATTTTAACACTCACAAATTATAGCATTAAAATTAGAATAGCTTTCTTACAATCAGTTCTCAGTCATTGGCATGAACAATTATAAGTGACAGTGTCTGTATGATGAACAGTGATGGAATTCCTTCAATTTTGTTTTCCTGCTATTTTCTCATATACAAAGTGCAACACTAACATGGAACAGTAGAAAACTGTACCAGCTAGTACTGAATTGATACTAGTCAGGCCTCTAGACTTAATGTTTCAAGTATCATGTGATTGAATACACCATTGTATCATCTCCCCAAATACTGTAAATAAAACTTACACCAAAGTAAGCTTAGTTTATTAAGTAATCTTTCCTTTCTACCAAAAAATTCTGTAATTCAAAAGGAGCATTATTAAAATTTTTTGTTTTGTGAGAGCAGCTGGATATTGCATGTTTACATTAGCCACCTTCACAATTTTTAAATCAAGTTGCCTATACTGCTTTGAAGTAATTTTATTATTTGTTTCATGGAATTTCTTAATTCTTCTAGACTTCTGGTGAACTGTGTTCTCTAACATTTTTGCAAGACAGTAGTTTTCCTCTGATATGTCCAAATCAATCTCAAGGAATATTAGAAAAAAAATTCTTATAAATTCAACCTCTGGATTTTCGGGTTGGTTTTTAGAAATAATTATCCAAACATATTTTTAATGAGAAACCTGCAGATCCTTTTTAGCGCACTTGCTTTTTCCTTACTTTCACATTCAGCAAGAATCTCAAGGCAGGCACTAAAGGCCAGTCTTCTGAGGAAGTTGCCATAGCCTGGGAAAAGCAAATGGACTACTAGTTACTCCGCTGTTATACAGATTGTGTAGGACTTTCATAGCACCTTGCATTTCTTTGTAGTTCCCTTAACAGGGTAATATATACCTCATATGTGAAAATGTTATGTTTCCAATTTACTTGGTTGCTTACATTCATTACTTTTTTTTATTGTCAGTAAAGCATATTATCATTGCCTTCAGAGTATGTGTCAGATAACATGCATATATTTTTCTCAGTCAAAGGTCTTGAGTATTTGCACCACTTTTCAGCTCACCGAAGACCACAAAATAGCAGGATACACAACAGTAAATAGATCTGCTAGTAGGTAGGTACCTTCCACGGTCACCCCTCAGGAACTGCACACTGAGGCAGCGGCTTTATGGTGACCCGACAGCTGTAATGTCAAATATTTCATTTCTAATCAAAACAGAAAATTAATATGCTTTGTTACATGCTTGTGATATATTAAGCTTTAGTCTTAGTACATCATTATTTATTTGTGTATAGTTTTCCTTTATTTTTGTCTGAGGAGACAGAGTGGTACCAGAATTGAATGAGGGGTAGGAGGAGAGAGGTATTTGCTACAGCAGAGCTATAAAACAGCAGGCTGGGGAAAGAAGCATACAAACATATAACGTAGAAAATGGTGCACCATCATAAAAATCAAGATAGCCACTTATGACTAGAAACAGAGTAAAACCAGCATAATTTCTATATGTCCAGATTATCTTTGTGTGTTTAAATTAAACTCAAAACTTGGTTAAAAGGCTAAAAATAATCCCATTTACAAACATGATTTTGAGCAAATAGGTAGTACTATTGATTTAAATCAGAGCAAGGCTCATCAATGACATATGAATTAAGGAGTGGTACCGCATGGGCTTGGGCACTTGAATCATGCTGTCGATTTGTTAAAATATTTTCTGGCATTTTTTGCTCTATGGTGATTAAAATCTGCAGAAACAATCCTGTGCAAAGTGAAGCTGGAGTCAGCTCAGCTCGGTTCCCATCAGTGGCTTGGTCGTGCTGCCCTGTTCAAAACACCAGAGCTTTTAACAGAGGGGATCTGGCCAGACCCTGCCAGATGGCCTCGGGGATGGAAAACAGGCCCTGACAATTGTAGTTATGAGTTTAGATGTTGCCAGAGAGTCTCACTGACTTCAGTGCGGGCAGGGCCTCACCAGCTGTACCTGACCTACATGATTTAATTTTATTTTTCTTATAGTCATGAAGCGTACAGTTATAATATTGAGGCTGTGCTGCCCCAAAGCTCAAGTTCTGGAAATCTGACTTAATTCTTTTCACACTAGGATCTTAGAAAAAGTATTTCAAAGTGATTTCCATCCTTGAGCCAATAGGCCTGAAGCTTAAGAAATATTTTGGGGGGACGGCTAAGCTCTGACAAACTTTGCAACCATAAATCTAAAATCCTGTCTTACATCTGAGCTATATTAATTCATAAGTAACTTCAGACAAGGCATGCCTTTTCCACAAAACCTTTAATGTGTAGTCTGATGTTTGTAGTGGCATAAGCAGTATTTAAAAATGCCTGAATTTCTTTTTTAAGTGGATTTCCATAAATGCCTCTACTAAAATATTGTCAGTATTTTATAATGCCTCCCCACCCACCTGAATATCTCCTCTATCACAGTGTTCAAAGTGAGGTGTATGTAATGGCACTGCAATTTTTCTGCTTTTTGTTGACTGCTGTGGTTGATTTTTCGTTTAATATATTTTGTCTGTGTCCCCCAGTAAGCTTCTAAAGGCAGAGAGGATGAACATTAGAAAGGAAACCCCTTCTTCCATGCTCTCATGAGAGGCGAAGAAAAGTCAGTGGTGATTTCTGTCCCTCTTTCCAATGCATGGGAAATGGACCAAGGCACTGCAAAAATGGAAGCAGGGGAGGGATGGACAGACAGACCATGCAATTTTAAAAGCTTCCTTTACTTAGGCATGCAAGCTAAAAGTTCCTATTGCTCTTGGGATTTCATAGAGAAATCCTTTTTTCAGTGTAGTTCTCTTACTTTAAATTGCTATTCATTGAGCTATGGCTGCCGAATAGGAAAATATTTCAAAGAAAACAATGTAAAATATCTCATGTAGTCATGTATATTGTTTCTTAACCTATGCTTCAAAAATGTTTATGTACTTTGGTGTTGAAGCGTGTAGAGAAGAGATTATCTTATGTGAAGTAAAAGACCTAGTAAATTTATTAGAAAGTACAAAAGGGATTTATGTAGCATGCAAGATGAAATTGAAGATGTATTTTAATCTGGTTCAACTAGAAAAACTCTAC